AAATACTGTTAAATCAGGCTCTGCATGTTGTAGCTCTACTGTAGCTGAATCCAGTTTCGAGGTAATTGCATATTGTGTATTTATATTTTTCTATTTGTACGGTGTATTTCTGCTTCTCCAGATTTCATCGAGAAGACCTCCGGTGCATTTTTGTGTAAAACTGTAAAACCTGCATGCTTGCACTACAGACTAAACTAAAACATCTGGTCATTATCATGAAGTATTGGATTAATGTTTCGAACAGAACTCTCTGACATCTCCCTCGTGAACTGGTGACTGATGTATTTTCATGCTCCTGCCTCATATCGTTACATGGAATTAAAGCATAGGATCATGAAAATATACTCCATAACTGTGCCTGCAGCATAATTGCCTAAGACAAATACGATTACACGAAGAGCCTTGGGTTCTCTGTAGCCTATCAGGTGAAAGGACCCATTGCCCCCTTTGTTGCAACTTGTTCACAACAGGGTGACATGCTGCAGCTAATGTTTCAAATAGAGTGCTTCGAAACTACATTATGCAGGGACACGAGATGAGAGTTCTTGGTTATACAGATCCAGATGTATTTAGGTTGTGTTCTTGTGGTGTGATTATATGTTAGCAGATGAGCTCACCAGCCAGGAGAGATCAAGCATCTCACCAGCCTGGTCAGCTGTGTTATGAGCTTCACTGGGACACGGAGACAACCTGCAGCTCAGGTGAGACATCCTGTGGCAGGGAGCAGCTGTAACAGCTAAAACATTGTGACCTTTTAGGTTAGTTTTTATAATACAGTTGTTATATAGAGGTGATGTACTTAACTGGGGGGATTTCAAACAGGTTTTTAAATGAAGGATTTTTTTTTTTTAATATATGAGTTGCAACGTTTTCTAGTCACATACTAAACAATGAGGATTGTCAGATTTGTTTTGTGTATATATTTATGTTAAATTGTCTCTGAAGGAGGTTAGTTGTTTTTTTTCCATCCTTATTGTATTACAAAGCTAATCATCACAGTTCTCATTGCCTGAGGAGAGAGGAGCTCAGCGTTTGCCCTCTTAATTAACAGAAATAGGATCTTGGCATTTTTAATAAGGCCCCCTTCATACTTCATATTGTTTATCATCTTTAACTAGACTGATGCTAGGAGGATGATCAAGATAGGTACGAAAATTAACCTTTTCCTTTCAAAAATATAGAAAATAATAGTTAACTTTTAGTAGTTGGAAATTTTAAGTGACATTTTGTGATTTTTTTTTCTTTTATATAATCAGTTGTTTCCGTTAGCAGCAAACAGTGCTGTAGCACGGGGCAGAAACTAGTGAATGAAACGCATTTTGTGCGCACCTTTCTGTCTTAGGTCTGACATCAGATGGTTATTTGTGTGCTGACGGTCAGCCTCCAGGCAGCAGAGACTATGAGGAGCATCAATATGTTAACACCCAGAGTCTGGAAAACCTGGATTCACTCACTCAGGGTCCTGATGGGCACAGAGGCACCAGGGCACCAGAGAGTCCCAAAAAGGATCTCTTTGACATGAGTAAGTCCTGCCTATGACATCTTCGGACATATATATAACAGAACGACAGCCAGACTTTCTCTCAAATGTTTGATTCCCACCAGATTCCCTTTTTGACACAGTCCTTTTACGATTAACCACGGATCTTTTACTAGTTAGGCAGACCACTACACTATGAGGAAACAACAAAACCTTGTGAAACATCTCAACCGCCTTTGTCGTCTCTGTAGGGCCCTTTGAGGATGCCCTGAAACTCCATGAGGCCTGTGGTGTTGGGTCCACTATATCTGGAGGCTCTGGTGCTGAGGGAGGAGTGGGAGGTGGTCGGGTGTTGGAGGATCAGTGGCCCAGCCCTCCACGACGCAGAGCCCCCGTTGCTCCAAATGAGGAGCAGCTCCGCCGTGAGCCCTGGTACCACAGCCGGATGAGCCGGCGAGACGCAGAAAAACTCCTGAGCCGGGACGGAGATTTTCTGGTAAGGGAGAGCACTACCAATCCTGGCCAGTATGTGCTAAGCGGCCTACACCGTGGCCTCCCTAAACACTTACTGCTAGTGGACCCCGAAGGAGTGGTGAGTCTCTTAAGAAGTAGTTTCAATAAATCACACTGCTTATTTGTTTTGTTATGAAGTTACACTGGTGTACTCCTTTTGTTTTGCTTTTCCCTTCAAAAAAAAGGTCCGGACCAAAGACATGTTATTTGAGAGCATAACCCACCTCGTCTCGTTTCACCTGAAGAATGAGCTGCCTATTGTAGCAGCAGAGAGTGAGCTTCATCTCAAACGGGGTGTGAGGAGGAAGCAGTGAATTACCTGGACCTGTGTGGGACTGTAAGATAGCAGCATACACTATGGACTTTTCAAACCAGATACATGAATAATTTAAGGGATTATAATGCAGACGTAAAGCAAGGAGCGCATGCTAACATTATCATTTTAAAAAGCATTGCTATTTCTTTACATTGTTGAGGTGTTCAATTTGTCTTTAACTGCAAAGGGGAGGTTCACATTTTAGCATGTAGATTATTTAGATTCACACACTTGGTTACAATAGATCTAAGTAGAAATAATGTAGTATTTCTTTCTCTCTCGTTCTACAGTGCTAAATTCCTATGTGCCCATACAAATCACATAAAAACTGAATCTAGGACTCATTATGGGATGATTTTTCAACGGGAAGAAAGAATATCAGCAATACTTTCTTTCCATGGACAATCCTTCTAAGGAGTCTGCAGTATCTGATATATCCCTGTACTTCTGCTTGTTGACTACCAGGATAAACCAAATATCCCTCATCTGTCATAAACTCCTCAGCATGCAGTTATTAAGCTAACAAACCAACCAGGATCCACAGTCTGTGCTGTGCCCGAGCTGGATAATCACCAACCGAGGTCAAAAATTAAACTGACAACCTGTCTGGAGAGGAGCCAACCTCAGGAAATCACAAAAGGATTTAATGCACAGTGAAGAAAAGCCTGTAATTGTGAAGTGCTTCCTTTAAACCACAACTTGCATGACTAGTAAGTCACAGGTTATTCAAATCAACCAGTTGTGGGAATCACCAGAACAAACTGTCACTAATTTTCTGGTGCACCAAAAAATTCAAAACAAGATGTCCAGTTCGTCCAGTAGTTCATCTCGGTACAAATGCAGGAAATGAAAATTCTGCAACTGTTTAGAATGTAAAGACTGTTAAATGCTCATGTTCAAGGTCTGCAGTATCTGAATTTATAACAGCCACAAAGCCTTTATTGTTTCTCTGAGCTATTTTAAGCCTCACATGCATCAAAAAAAAAAGCATAATCATGATACACCGATTAGCCCCAACATTAAAACCACTGACAGGTGAAGCGCACACCACTGATTTACCTGGGAAACATTGGGTCCTGGCATTCAAGTGGAAGCTATCTCGAGACATCAACCACATAAACAAGTTCCAAGTAACAGCAACCTCAAGTGCTTTCCTCAGGAACAGTTGCAGAACATGACAAACAGTGCAAGCTGTTGAAACAGCCCGCCTCCCTGCAGGTTCTGTTTTCGGCCACAAGATGGGCCAGAACAAGCCAATCCACTGCACCGACTCCATGCAAAGAGCCAGACAACACGGCGCACCCCAAAACATCACCTGTCGCTGCACCGATCGGTCAGAGCCGTTTAGGTGGAACAAGCGGGATCTACACAATGGATGCTTTTAATGTGGCTTTAGTGTATTTATCAGTGCAGTGGAGATCGATACATTGTCCTGACTGAGAAGTTTGATCACATTTGCTATTAAATCTGCTATTTGTGCTGTTTGTAAGGGCTGTTCATTATTTTAGGAAGTCATGTGTGGTAAAAACTCCTCCGCATTAATGCTCAGTATAGCCATGCCCGTTCTCCCCAGCCTCTCCCACTTCAGTGCCTTAATAACTACACTGACAGGCGTTTGTGTCAGCGTGTATATAATGTGCATTTATGCTCTTGTTGCAAAAGAACAGTTTTCTTGCCACGCCAATGAGTAAATGAACAAACTTCAGGATGATTCAAAGTTGTGTACATGTAAACAGTAATGGAAGCTGCTCTTGTTTTGGGGTGAATGAGTAATACTGTCTATGATGGTCTTAAATGTTATCGTCTTATATGTGTGTCCCTCAGAGTTTTTAAGTCAGAGGTCAGTCATAGACATGTTAAAGAAGGAGCTTCATTTTTCCCAGCTCAGGGAAGTGCATCACTTTATTGTCCTTATTCCCTGTCTGTACATTTTACTGACTTACTGGTGTGTTTTTGCTCCACAACGTTTCATCCCCAGTTTTGACAGTGTAATACTTTAAAATTATTTTGTCTGCTTTCTGCCCTTTTCCCCCCTCTCTGTTCTTGGCTACTTAAGTTTAATCAGGCCCTCCTTTGTTCTTAGCCTCATAAATGCACATAAAGATGAGGTAAACTTCAACAGTTTTTTTGCGAGATCCAGATCATTGTCATTCTTTTGTATCTCCCCTCAGGAATTTCCTGGACCTTTTCTTCTATGATTAACTGACTGACTTTTTGTTAATAAAATGTATTAAAAAAAGGTGGGTTGTCATTTGTGAGCATAAGTTTAACCATCTAACCAACAAGCAAAAGATCCATGTTTAGATCCCACCTAATAGGGCACAAATCCCACTGGGGTTGTGTTAGGAATGGCATCGGATGATCAAAAATGCAGTGCAACTTTTTGTGAGTAAGGAAGCAGCTGAAAGTTGTTTACACAGTGTATTTATCCTCACAAAGTATAAATGGTTGTATGCACGTATTTCAGGCATATTAGTTGGTTCAAATATTGTGTCTCTAGCTTCCTTAATGTATGTGTATAGCTGCTGCAGAGGGTCATGGATCAGGATGGCCAGAACAGCATGCTGGCTTACATACTGTAAAATAAGGACCCTTAGTGTTTTAAATATGCATTTGACATATTACTATGCATTTTTCTCGCACACTCCATAGTATAGTTACTGGAATGGATCCTATATTTGTGTGCTAATGTATCGGGTCCACAGTTAAGCCCAGAGTCAGTCAACCGACACTCTTTGATGGATCACTTTAAAAAGAACACAGTGAACCGCAGAGAATTTATCTTCTTTTTTTAATTAAAACTATTATATAAAAAAAAACCAAATCAATGCATCTGGTATCGTCTAAATATCCACTCTGTCACATTCACATTCTGCTTTCATAAACTCCTCACATACTACACAATAAAGGCACTCCATGTTCCATTTTTCTATCGGTTGTTTGGGTTACTACATTACAAGCATGCAGCTATACCTGACCACAGATCAGTTGTATTTGGCTTTATACTGGGTACTGGTCCCACAGGCTGCTGTGATAGAGCTGCTATGCTGCCCTGTAGAGGGGACTGGAGCTGAGAGAAACTTGCAGATGCTCTAAATTTCAGTGCCCCTCGTGTGTCATCTTCAGGATCTGGAGTAGCAAATGCTGCACCTCTTCATCCATGCGACCCTGTTGACAGACGATGATGCCATCTTGAAATGAAAGGTAACCGATACTGCAAATAGCAGTCCAAGATAGTTGTATTTCCAGAAAAACAATGTTAACCACCAACTAAACATTACAATAACTGTCCCATTTTAAGAGAGGCATCAAGAAGACAATTCCTACCTGCTAAAAGCATTAAAGGTAAGCAACTATGCAGCCAGCTCAACAACATAGAACAATAAATTATAGCTAGCACGCCAAAAGGTAATAACAAATGAACAATGAACACTAAAAATCACTGTGATCTAGATAAATCAACTGAAAAATACAGGCAGCAGCCAGTGGTACCCCTCAGGCTCCTATTAGATATACCTTTGGTATCAATTTGACATTGACCTTGAGGTCAAGGTCACTGAGATCTAAATTTGTCCGAGATTTATAGTAGATACACCTTTGTATCAGTTTGAAACTCCTATGTTGCATCATTCTGGAGTTATCACACTCATAAACGTGTGTGTTAGCGTTGCCTGCCTGGCAGGATGACTACAGTACTCTGTCTTTTACAGCTGAGGGTTAAAAAGTCAGAACAACAGGGTCAACAATGTGTACGCACCTGATGTAATTATACAAAGACTGCTGTTGTGTGATCCAAAGTAGACACAGACACGCAAACAAATCCTCAACATATTTCCATTTCAGTCCTAATTGTTGTGCATATGAGTGCACTGAACTGACCTGCACAGCTGCCAGTAAGTGTGAGCGGTATACAGTCACCACTTGTTTGTGCTTTCTCTCCCAATCCTGCAAAAAAAGGACAATATCATTATCATCTTACAGTACAAATCTGTCTACAACCCAGTCAGGCCTTTCCAGTCATCAAGTGTAGATCTTTTAACTGTTCCCAGAATTAGATCCAAGTGCACTAAAAGCTGACTTCAGTTATTGTGGTTGTGTTCATTTGAATAAGCTCCCTGCTGGCCTCAGATCAATTATATCTATCCAAACATTTAGAAAGAAAAACCACTCAAAACCTTTTTATTCGTCCAGACTTATGAGTACATTTTCCCTTTGAATCTAATAGATCACCTGGAGCTGTTGAGTGAGGATGGCAATCCTATTCTGCAGAGCCATTTGCTGTCCAGGGTTACCATGATGGGTTGATGAGGAGGAAGAGGTGATTCCGAGAGGAGGCGAGAGAGCCCCCAGGGCCTCTTTCAGTCGGAACACCTCCTTTGACAGCTCTGTTATCTGCACACATATTGAACACATCACTTTTCACAACCTTGTTCTTCAAGAGCAGCCGTGAACTTCATGAACAGCTAGCATCTCACCTTGCGGTCCTTCTCTTTCACGAGGCTCTGCGATTCCTGGATGTCTTTGTGGAGTTCCTGGATATGGGTTGACTGGGCTTGTAGTTCAGCAAGTTGTTTTTGAACTGTGGCGAGCTGCGACTCTGCGACCTGCCGCTCACTCTTGTTAAAGAGTGCCTCCCTTTGTACCTGGAATACCTGCAGTAGACAAATAATACCAACAGTCTCATCCTGCCTCTTAATAAAAAAAATAATCTCTGCATTTAGCCGTTTAGTTTATTATTTAAATGCAACAGCAGATGTGAAGGAAAATTCAATTTGGAGTGTCCCTAAAATGAGATTAGATGTACTTTATTTATCCCACATTTGGGAAGTTAATTTTTTTACAGCAATTAAAATCAGTTAAATGCAAAAATATATAATAAACATTTTAATTAATAGGATAGTTGTATTGCTTTCTGCTGTTTTGTTATATTTTGAATTGGTAGTGCACAAGCAAATTTAGTACATGACTCAGTACACATAAGGATGGGTCATTGCAGCAAAAAGAAGTACAGAAGTAATGGAGTAGGATAATGTAAAGAAAGGCAGGAGGGCATCAAGGCCCACAGCTCATAATATCATAGACACACAGACCTCAGTGCAGGTCTTCTCGTGTTTACGAGTAAGATCGTTGAAACGGGCCGTGACGGCGTTGATCTCAGCCTGCAAAGAGAGCCGAAGGGCCTCGTGATCCTCCTTAGAAATCAGACCCTGTTCTGCAGCCTTCTGGGATTTCAGCTCTCTCAGTTCCATCTCCTTCTCACTCAGAGCATCCCGAGCTGCTGCTGCACCGCTCTCACTTTCCTGCAGGGCGTGCTGGAGCTCTGCCTGTGAGACGAGCCAGGATTAACTGAAGAGTTTTATTCCGTCTGACCATGTGTGCATTTAAAACAAACTTCTAAAATTTGGAAATTCAATATCAGTATTATTATTATTATTATCATATGCCATTTAATAATGTGCAAGATGGCAAGGTTCATTAACAAGGGATCTGTTTGTTCAAGAGTTGTGGCAGAAGGAGAAGGAGAAGTCAACTAAAAGCACGTGTGCATAGCTCTTACTTCTCTCCATACCTCAATAAACAATTTAAAGAAACTGCAAATGCCCATTTTGTAATTCGTTGTATTTAATATTAAAGATTTTTCAGGAAAAAATGGAGGCATCATATAGGCCCTGAAGTTTCATGCTTCAGATAAAATGTATTAATTTTCACTGCAGGCAGATTCACTCACAATTAGCTTTTTACAGAACAATTACAGCAACTTATTACTGTATATTGTGCACGTGAGTTAAGGTGATGAAAAAATGTGAACCTGTCCTTTAAAAGTGGAGGAAATGGTTTTCCTTCCATTTATCAACAAGCTTCTTCTGCTGAGTCTATATTTAACATATTTAAGAAGAGCCCGGCCTTATCAGCTACTTTTGATCACTGACCTTTTGAGCTGTTATTATCATATTTGTACATTTCTGCTGACCTTGACTTTCTCATGCTCCTCTTTGGGAATGGCATCCTGCATGGCCTGCAGTTTAGCCTCCAGTGAGGCAGCCTGCTCCTCAGCATGGCCCCGAAGGGTTTTTTCTTCCTGGAGCTCTTGCAGTGTCTGAGCAAGTTGTTCTGACACCGCCGACAGCGCCTCTTTATGTTTCGCAAGTGGCACCGTGTCCTTCAGCTGCAGGGCGTCCTGTGCCCGGCTCTCTCGCTCGGCGCACAGACAATCCAGAGCCTGAGCTGCTTCCTGCCTCGCTACTTCAAGTTCTTCTCTCACTGCTGCTAAGGTGCGTCTGGAGTGCTCTGATTGGACAGAGGCACAAATAATAACACATGAACTCAACCTGTGAACTAAATACAATGGTTTTCTACTCATGCAAAATGACACCGCATTATCAGTTGTACCTGATATGACTGAGGGCTCTGAACTCTCTGAATGCTCTTCCTCATCTTCTTCATCTTCCTCTTCTCCGTGTGGTGGAGGTCTGAGTCTCTCCAGCTCCAGGAGGGCATCGTTGAGCCTTCTAGCCACATCCGCCCTCTCCCTTGCCAGCTGCTCACACTGGAGTCCCAGATTCACCTGCACCTCCTCCAGCTCCGAGCGGGGCACACATTTCCTCAGTTCTCCCTCTAGCTCGTGCAAACGCTCCTGAAGGCGATGGACCTGATCTCCATCTCCTGCTCCGCCTCCATCTTTTTCTGATAACCTGCTCTCTGCCAGGGCTGCCTCCAACTTGGCAACGTTGTCACGTAGGCACTTCACTGTTTCTGTATCTTCTATTTTGTCTTCTTTCTCCTCTTCCTCTTTTGTAGACTCCTTCTGGGCCAGAGCAGCCTGGAGTTCCTTTACTTTCTCTGTCAGCTGTTTGATTATGTCACTGTCCGAATTGCTCTGACCCCCAGCCTCACCCGTTCTTTTAGAAAGCTCCTCCTCCAACTCTGTCACCCTGGCTCTCAGCTGCTCTGCCTCCTGGCTCGGGCCCTCCTCTGAAGCCCCAGCACCTGCTGCAGCAATATCCCCTATACCACACTCCACAGAAAGCACCCCGACACGCATCTGCTCCTTTAGCTCCTCCAGCTCAGATTTGGAAGAGGCCAACTGCTCCTCCAGCTCACGCAGCTTCTCCTTCAGAGCTTCTGTATTCTCTGAATCTGCAGCTCCTCCCTGCGAGCGCTCATCATCACTGCAAAACAACAGAGACTTGAAGTGAAATTAAGAAAACATGCTAGATTCATATGAGTCAGACATTTAGTTATTACAGAAAACAACACAAGGTGATGTCCTCAAAAAACAAAAAAAATATTTAGCCTTTATGAAAACAAGAGACATACAGCTTATTGTTAAACAAACAAGGGTGTAAATGAGTGACTGCTTCAGAATTAGATAACACTTTCTCAGTGTATTATTGAAGTGTTTTGTTGCTTAGCTGCAACACAGATGAGGTTTTATATTTTTTCAAAGAAAAATAATACACATGATGCAACAGCAGTCATGAAACCTTATGTCACGAGGACTCAATTTGTAAACAAGCACATTTTAGAATGAAGGCCAGAGCCAGTGAACGGGAACTCTTCCTGTGATTCTAGTTTGAAGTGGTAGCATTTCAAATAAATTCTTACTGCTGCTCTTCCACACTTGAAGCCTCTGCTGAAGCCTGGGCCTGAGAGAAGCGCTCCTGAAGAGTTTCATACTCTTTTCTCAGGGTTTCATACTGAACCAGAGGGACAAAGTCCGAACTGGAGGTCTGCATGTCTGTGTCATCCTTCTCGAACATCTCCAACATCTGTACACAACAGAGGTGAAACTATAGCAGCTTATTAAAAACTCAGTTAGCTTCAATATGTGAGCCCAACAGAATGTGCACAGAAAATCCAGGTAGTGTCGTTAGAGTACCACATTTTTGTGACAGTGTGAGCACATGAGCATATACTGCCAGTTCAATTCAATTTTACTTCAGTTTATTTAAGTCTTTATTGAGTTTGGACGTTTCATGTTTCCAGTGGGGAATGAACAATCACACTATAACAGAATGCTTCATAAAACCTTCAGCACTAATAAGCTCTGATTAACTTCAACTAGCATGAACCGGTCAGCATAGAACGCCTGCAAAATGCCTCCATGTCTACATCTGATGTTGCTGTGTTCTATTTATACCTAAATGAACTAACTGCCTGGGTACATTAGTGCACCAAAGTGAAGCATCCCAAAGTTTAAGTGGTCATGACTAATGCTTGAATGAAGGACACTCAGCAACTCTTGAAACAGAATCTTCATCTCCTGCCAGGAAACCAATTAATACTCTTTTGACTACCAATTTATCTTTGTTAATGAGCCAACATAATGAAGGCATGAAAATGGTGTCTGTGCATGTGTGAGAGTAGGTACTTATGCATTAGCTGTGTATTTATGCATTTATGCTGCCTGACCTGAACTTTCAGAACAAGTTCAGCATTCTGGGAAGTAAGTTCCTCTATTTGTTTATGCAGCTCAGCAACAGCTCCTGGATCTGCAGGGGCAGGAGAGGGGCTGACTGAGTCAATGTCCGTTTGAGAAGAGGCCTCATCCTGAGCAGGGGAGGCTCTGGAGCGCTTGGAGAGCAGCTTTTCTAGAGCGAAAGTTAAAAAGAAACAAAGACAAAAATAAATCAGCATGACTCCCTGACATGAAAGATGTAAGAATACCCAAGTGGCACAGCAATGACACCGGCATGAAGCGCATGCACGCTCTGTGCTAGGGACGGGAACGCTCACAAATACTTGGATCGCATACCTGGGAAGTCCAGCATTTCATCCAGGTCCTCAGAGTCACTCGCCCCAATACCATGGACTGCTTTCAGTTCCTCAAGCAGTTTATCCCTCTCTGCCTCTGCCTCCTCCAGACGTTTCTTTAGTTGGGAAAGCTAGTGAGCAAACACACATAATATTGGCCACTGCAGTTGCATTCAGAAAGTACAATTTCAAGCACTCAAGGTTTAAACAAAATAAGGGAGTGCACGCAAAGCATTAAGGAGACTCTTGTTCAGTACCTCCTCCAAGGCAGAGAGGGCACTCTGCTGCTGCTGCTCCAAGGCTTTGATCTTCTGGAGCAGACGGCCTCTCTCCAGTCGCAGCCGCCGAATCTCCTCAAACACCTCCTCGTCTTCAGCCTAAAACAAAACAAGCAAAAAACAACCCAACACAAAATAATTAAACCAACAATAGTCTGCCTTTTATGTTAAGATAAAGGAAGAAACCCTTAAAAGCCAAATAAGAGCCAACATTACAGTGCTAACCTGGGGTGACTGCTGGGTTTCTTGAGGCTGGGGAGAGGGAGGTGGGGACTGGGACTGATGGGGCTCTGGAGAGTGGGCAGGAGGAGCTGAACTCTGGGACTTTTGGGAAGGTGGCACACCCTGCATTTTTGAGATCAGAAAAAAAAAAATCACATCACACAGATCAATAAACAATCCGGTCAATGTCTTGAGAAGCAATGTTGTAGCTTAGAGATTTCACCAAAGAAATGATGGTACAATTAGTATAAACAGGGACATCTGCTAATTGGAGCTGTAAACTAAAAATTCATTCACATCTTTTTATTTCCTACAGTCAATCAAAAGAAAATCTTAGGTGTAACATTTCTCAACTATTAAACTAATATCACTTCATGTTTAGGGTACAGGAGATACTGACAACACTGAACAGAGAAATGTTTCGTGCCCACTAACATGTTTCTTACACTACCTGAAGAGGAGACCGAGGTGGTGGAGGAGCTTTCCGTTTGCGGGGGGTAGTCCCCCCTTGCACTGATGAAGTGGCTGAGGGGGTTTGAGAAGGCTGCATTGAGGTGAGAGGGTGATAACAAGCAAGCAAAGATCAAACTCAACTTAAAAAACAAACAAAAGGGAAAAAAATGGAGAAAATCAAGATGAGACAAAAGGTCGCCAACTAAAGAGAAAGAAAGCAGCACAAAAAAAAAAAACCAATGACCTCATATTGGAAAACATGCACAATATGATTGCCAAAGTGAGCCATGATCTCATTTATGGAAGGAGTGATGCAGCACAAGAATATGCAACATTACCTCCTCCCCTGCGCCCTCAGAGACTATGTATGCATAGGGAAAGAAACATTAAAGCACTTAAACCTCATTTGCACAGAGACTCAGAAAACAGCTAGAAAACATGCAGACAATGCCCTGAAATCCCTTTCTAATATGCAGTTTACATGGGTGCCATTCATGTATTATGCAGTAAATCTATGAAAATCTCTCAAATTATTATGAACCGATGTGGTCAGGCATCATGTGCACACCAAATTACCTCCTTCATCTTCTCAAAAAAAGTCAAACATCTGTTTTCCATGTAACCTATCAGCAAAGTCTTTGTTGAGAGATAAAAGCGGAAGCAGCCTTTTTCATTTTTATGCCCCACTTTACAATCACGCCCAGCTGTCCTTCTGATCCACTTCCCTCTATTACAGTTGTTTTCCAAGGAGGCCAATGAGAATGTCTGGATCTGGAATATCACAGCAACTCAAACCATACTCTGGGTCTGATTATCTCTGGAAAGTCACTGTGTACCATGTGTTACAGTGGGGATCAGAGTAGCTGTGTTTTCACTAGGGATGGGTATCGTTTAGGTTTTATCCGATACCGGTGCCAAATCGGTACTTTTGAAACGGTGCCGGTGCTTAAACGGTGCTCGAACCGGTGCTTAAAGAATGGAGAACACAAACTTTGTCCAAAAAGCTCTCATGTTCAGCTGGGTTTTTTTTGTAAAAAGATAACAATATTAGCCTTTTCTGCAGCTATGGGGCATATATGGCATCACTCTTGGCTGGAAGCAGTGCTTAAACAATGGAAAAAACACAAACTTAAACCCTCTCATGTTTAACTGTTTCCACTTTTTCTTTGGTCATTTTAGCCTTTTTGGCCAGGGTGAAGGGAGTATCTGCCATCAAACAAGAAGACAGCCGCATGTAACTAGATGAGTGTTTGCTAGTTCACCTTACATGCATTAATGTAATAAGTGGTTAGCCTACTCAACGTAAATTACACACGAACAACATGTAAGCTACTCACGCAGAGAAGAACGGCTGCTGCTGCATCATCATCCGTCATCATTTCTGCTACACTGGCAGGGCTAGGGGCCAGGACTCTATTCTTCGGGTTTTTGGGGGATGTTGCTCCGGGTCCGATAACTGGCAACCCACCCGACGTGCACGGTGTGAGGTCTCGCAGCAAGCTATCAAATACGGCGCATTTCTCGGCTTTTAAAAAAAACGCTATGCGTCGCCAGCGTGTTTCATCGGATTCTTGGTGTTACCTCCTTTGACAGTATCACAGTATCAGCTTAAAGCACTTGTTGCTGCTGAGTTTGCATCTTTTGCTGTGAAGTACAGCCAGACTTTTGACCGCTTCGCCTTGGACATTTTTAATCTGTAGCTCTGCTCTAACAGAACGTACGTACCTGGCCCCGCCTACTATCCTCGGAAACGTAAAATGATTGGCTAGAAGTGTATCACAGCTCAGGAAAAAAAAGCACCGAAATAAAGCACCGAAATGTGCGCTGCTTTTCGGTCTGGTTACTACCGTTTATGTCAGAACCGGTGCCATCATGGCACCGGACACCGGTACCCATCCCTAGTTTTCACCATTCCCAAACATTCAGTCATTTGATTGATTATCTGAGCTGCACTACTGAGACAGGTCTTTTGAGATCTTAGAACAAAAGCAAATGCAAACACTACTGAAAGAAGACTTGGGCCTCATACCTGAAGGTACTCCATCCTGCAGCATCTCAATGATACGTTGGTTGCCTGTGGTTACGCTGTAGTCGGTAGCTTTGTGTCCGAGGCCGTTGACCAGCTGTGCGTTGGCCCCACCTCTCAGCAGAGCCTCCACAGTCTCAACGCTGTCACTCTCACAGGCCAGCATCAACGCAGACCTGTGACCCCACACAATATATAATTACAAGGCAATAAAAAAAATACTTACGATGAGGAATGCAATACAAAAAGAAACTACAGAAGTATTAGAGAATGTTTATTTCTTTCCAGGCCTTCACTTACATATTGTGCAGAGTTATCTCGTTTGGCATGTCAATCATTGCAAAATAAAATATGCTAAAAAAGGGCGCAATGTTTCATTTTGTTCAAAGTTTCCAGTTATAAAAGTCAGGACGTGTTTTGAAAAACAAAAAACAAACACACTGCAGGATACTCAATATGAAGCAGAAAATACTGCAGTTTTTCATTTTATGCCAAATTTGTGTCTTTTCCCTTGTTAATTTTAACCCGAGGACTGTTCTCTAGTAATCCTCTCCAAGGGGCCATCTAAAGCCAACCCGAAAGCTGTTGCCCCAGCTGGAGATCCTGACCTGCATCCCTCCAAATCTCTCGACTACTGGAGTAATTCTATGGGAATCCTTTCTGCAGACCCAGACTGCTGTGGGAGTAATCCTGAAGAGATTTTATTTTTGTTCTAGCTTAGCTAGGGGTTTCTAGTGGTTTCATGACACTTTCTAGTGATGTGAAATTCCAACCTGTTTGACACTTCAGTCATTGCATCTATAATGATTTCAAGAAACAGGAAATGAAGGCCCAAGCAGTCATACCCTGCCTCACCAAGCCATGCAAGGAAAACAATATTTGGGATACTATCAATAACAGTTCACTACCTTCCTTGATTATCTTGTATGTTTGCATTTGCACCTCGACCCAATAGAAAGACACACAGTTCCACTCTACTCATCTGGGCTGCCAATATCAGAGGGGTGGCCCCGTCCTGAAAAAATAAATAAAAATAAATAAAATTTATTTTTGGTCAGCAAAAACAGCAAACCAAACAGCTAAATTGTCAAACTTACAGTGTCCTGGGCATCCAGATTGGCTTTAAAGTCCCACAGGGTCTCAGTGCAGGACATGCAACCACTGACCGCTGTGAGTATAACCGGCGTTCAGGCAATTAAAAGTTTGCATATAGTACGTTTTGCAATGACATGATTAAATTCAACTGAATTTCTAAACAGAACGATCAATAAAATCTTGTTATAAGCAAACTGTTATGGAATTAAATAAACTGGTGTAATAATTTTATGCTGTAACAGCGACCTGCAAGATGGAGCGGTGTCCTTCCAATGCTGTCCGTGCAGTCTACCGCCATTCGTTCCTGTTAGAGGAAACAAGCACGCATCATTGGTAACCAGATAAATATTTAAAATAATGGCCATTATTTTTATTAATGATTTCAATAATTAATTGATTAGCTATGGTGTCATTGTTGGGGTTTTTTTTTTTACCTGTAACAGCCTCTTTAAGCACTCAGACTGGCCATTTTTGGCTGCAAGATGAAGGGCGCTGAAGCCTGGAGTCAGACAGTTACATGTATTTTATAAACAGCCCAGTGGCTTACAGGATACAACTATGTTTCTGTTTAATAAAATCCCTCACCAGCCCCATCGGTGACGCTGATGTCTGCACCATGAGAGATGATAACCTCCAGACAATCTAGCCGGCCTCGGGATACAGAGAGGTGAAGCCTGTCAGGAGAAACAGGACATGCCACCACATCTTACAGGTGAGAGGATAAAAATAAAAATGGCTTTTATTTCTGCATTTCTATTGCAAAATGTCACAATTAGTGATCCTTCTCATCAGTTAAGTTTCAGCTCAAGATTCTAGTTACTTTTATTTACACTTGTGGTCATAGATTGACATTCCCTAATTATGGACATGAATGTGATGGTAATTTAAGTTTTTTAATGATTTCTTTGGACAGTTTTTTTTCCAGAGTTTTTGTCTAAGGTGCACTTTTTGGTAACTGTTGGTAAGTTTCTGGCACAGGTCTAGCTGATATTTGACCACTCTTCTTGGCATAAATAGTAGAGTTCATTTGAACTGGTTGGCTTCCTGGTACTACCTGGCTACAAATTTTCAACAGGGTTGAAGGCACAGCAGACTTAGGCACTCAACTTACGCCGACTTGCCCTCAGCATCCAGCTTGGTAGGACAGAGACCTTTTTTGACAATGAGAGCTGAGACTTTATCGGGTTCATTCTGCTCCACAGCCTGCAAGAGCCTTTCATCACTCTTACTCCAGTCCTGACTCTGAGGGGGCCAAAACAGAGAACAGGTCACCACGAAAACTGATACCATACCACTTCTCTTGCCATTCAACACAACAGATGACTGAGAAATATGGAGCAGTTAGAATGGGCAACAACTAGTGATAATGATCCAGTAAAGAAAAGAAAAACACAGTAAAGACAACAGAGCACAACAATTGTATAGTTTATGCAAAATAACTTAAATACAGAAATATTATAAACTACGGAGGCAAAAAAATCACTTATATTTCTATGTGATACCTACTGGCAGCGGTAGCAGGCTGAAACAAGGACAGAACCTCTTCATCAGGCTATAAACAGGCTGTTGAGGATCCATGCTGCTAACAGGGTGTCACACACAACTAAATACAGCTACAGTATACGAAGCCACCGCAGTGTTTCCTATCAGACAATACACACTGCCACCTGGCTTCATAACAATACAAACACACTCCAAATGATCGAGAAAAAAAAATCAGCTACCCCTAAGTTTCTTTAAGCTACCCTTTAGAGGTCAGAGCAAAAACACAGCAAAGCTCTACCTACCAGAGAATTTATGCTCTCGTGAAATCATACCTCCAGTGAAAACGAAGGACTGTCACACATAAACTGTGACGCACGTACACATAACACAGCTATTTTCTGTCCTCCCTCTCCGCATTTAAAACGGCATCCTTTCGTCCTGCTCCAGCTGCTAGCAGAGTCGTAACAGTCTATCCACTGCACCACACACACTCTCCCTCCTTTCCTCACTGCCCTCCTTTCTCTAACCTAACATTTTCTCTTGTGCCTTCCTCTCTATAGCCACCTCATTTCTTTTCTTCATTAGTTGTTTTTTTTTTTTGCCAGGTCTTCCAACAGTACCCCTTGGCGTCAGCGTCACAGATCTGTGCCTCTGCAGCTTCAGAGTAGGGCCTGTGTGATGTGAGGACTCAGCAAAAACAGGAAAAGGGAGCTGGATAAGCTGCACGCTGCTCTGCAGGTTTGGGACGTCATTTATAGGGAAAAGCAAGACACACAAACACAAATAGGTACAAACCACAAAAACGAGACAGCCCGAACTAGCCATTTTACCTATCTGGCCTCTTGGAGTGTTAAGTTATACTCCACACAGTCTCACCTAAAGAGGTAACCTTCATTGCCACTAAGTCAGAGTGATACAGCACAAAGAAAAGCCTATAATTGTTCTAAAAGCATCACCACCATGAAAATGCTAACACAAGTGGTCTAGTTAGATAAACCAGCAACTTTTCAGTGTATCAGTTTGAATACACCACACTGCATCGTGTAGAGGATTGCTATAATTCTCTGTTGGTTCTTATTTAAAAAGTAAAGTTAACATTTTAAACAGCTTTCATGTGAAAAAGGATGACAGCAGGATAATAGGAGCTATTTGTGTGTGCATGTGTGTGTGTGCAGGTACATGTGAATAATTGAGGGCTACCTGAGATCTCTGGTTACAGCTGCAGTCTGGAGACAGTCCTGCCTTCCTGCTGCTCAGTGACACCAAATCCCACTGCCCCCCATTACACATACACACAGAAAGCAACCTGGGACTGTATAAATGACTACATAACACAGTCCAGTTCAACACCTTAACATTCATTTAAAAACCAAATAACTTGAAGCAGCATATCAGACAGGTGTGCTCCTTTAAAACATACGCACCTGTAAAACTCAAGATGCCACACCACAGATGGCTCTTACCTCAATCTTTTTAAATTTTGCTTTCAGGCTTTTCATAACGGTTGGACAGCCTTTGTCTAAACAGGTACACTGCAAGGTAAGAATAAAAAAAAAGAGCTAAAGTTAAAATGCTAGTGTAATTCTCAGTGGGTCTTAAGGAGGGTTTGATTCATTTACCCATTACTCAGCTCTCAACAGTGGACCAGCCACAGGGTAAGTACTAAAATTTGGGGAGTACATAGGGAATGCACCACCAGGCTAGCATCAACACTAACGCAGTTCATGCAGACACACAATTACACAGCTGGAGAAACGTGCAGCCTACCCGTGGACGACCGTCTAGCTCCAGGTGAGGGTTTCATCTGTCCCACGAGCTCCTCGCGGCAAAATACTGAAGTCACTGCTGCCTGGCGGACAGCAAGAATGCGCCCGCCCTAATCGTAAATTAACCAATCAGCACTGCAGGAAACGCCGGATCAGCGTTTGATTGGAGATGATGGATGGCAACTTTGTTCTGTCGCGTGCAGCACAGCCAGCCAAAGGCAGACTTGTTCTAAAAGTTGTGGTTTCAAGAAGCGTAGAGAAGCAGTGACGAGCACAGACGTTTCATAGGGTGATGGTGACATTGTCGAGGTATTACGTCATATATAATTTGTTGTTTTGTCGCTGTTTTCTGCTGCGGGAGTCTCCTTGCCTCACAGTTCAACGCGGGTAGTGGTAGCGGTGGGAAAGTTCCACAGTTTAGAAAATTTTAGCCAATCACAGAAAGTAAACCTCACCAATGGCAACACTGGAGGGCCCGACCCCGGAAGCAAACACCTTTATGCAATAAAGAGTGAGGTGAGGGAAAATAGAATTTACCTTAATGTTACTGTATTACAGGTGCCACGTAAAGACGAGTGTGTGTTTTACTAGGCTGATTCGCTTTACTGCCTCTGCGGTTTATTTTTGTTTTTTTGTTTGCAGTTGCCCTGTTCTTTGTCATAACTGCATGACAAGTAAGTTAACTGTGGTTAAAGTGGGACATTGGTGTGCTCATGCTTATTAAAGAGCACATGGAATGCAATGCACACCAACCACCAAATGAGGGCAGTCGATGCAAGGCAGATGAAGCTATGGAAATCCGCTGCTTCTACAGGTCTGCTTTGCACCCCCCTCACTACCTCCTTTTGTCAAGGCAAACGCTGCTGACATTAAGATTAAACTCAAGGCTTTGATATATGTGTGCGTCACTGTGTGTGTGTGAAACCTGTAGCATGTTTGTGTTTGTCAAATTTCATAAATGATAGCACATTGAAGCCAAAATCTGAGTGAAGCTTGGAGTTCAGAGGAAATGTCACCTCTATATTTAGCCCGTTATAATGAGGCAGCCTTATTAATTCTATGAAAAGAAAAATACAGAGCTTCTTTTTCTGTTATGTAACTGCGGTTATTTTGCATGGAAAAAACTGCAGTCACTATTTACCTGTCTGATTGTGTGCCTGTCAGTCTGACTGTCTCTGATTTCATGTCGGTGAGAGATCCAAATTTTCCATTTCAGTTTTTCTCCCCTCTGTGCTCTCCATGTGTCCTCCTCTTGCTCACTCTGACAGCTTGCATGTCTGTTCATCTCTGATTGTTCCATCTACTGCTTAGTCTCTGTCTTTGAGTTCTGGCTTTCACCCTGGTCGGGATGGAAATAAAAAATTAGATGTGTCCTCAATATGGTACTCGCTAGGGGGTTAGAGGAGGTGTTGGATTGAAGGGATTGTGCAGATGAAAAAAGGGGAAGGTGTGACTAAGGGGAGGGGGAAGAGAAGAGATATTACAGCTACAGTGAAAGATATGACAGGAGATAAAAATTCAAAGGTGGAAAAGAAAGGGCAGGGGAAGAGATATCGGGAGCTAGTAAAGCTCCAGGAAATAATGACAACCAAAAGATGGCTTTTTTCCGTTGTCATCTGGGAGAAAAGATTGTAGGTAATTTGATAACATGATTTTGTGGGGACGGCATATTTTTGTTAATAAATATATGGATCTAATTCCCATAAGATAAAATCTTTAGCACAATGCCCATATGATAACGACTGATTCTCAGACTACTTAAACCTCACAATGAGACTTTGTCTTCAACTCTGGAAACTTTCTTTTCCCCAATAAGAATAATGGCAGGCATTTAGTGGCTAGTGAAATTGAATCCCTTCTTCACATTTACTGCTTCACTGCTATAATTGATTTAAATTGGGCTGCAGGGCCCACAAAGATTTGCATTCACACTAATAAAGTGCACTCAGATTTTTTTCAGAAACACCTGGAGCCATGTTTTTGATCTCTTGACCCTCTTTAGGTATGGAGCCAGTACTTGGTAAACACTGGTGGAGACAGACTCAGTAGGCACAAAGGCGGAGATGTAAAAAGCTAGATGGGATAATGTTGATGGCTGTGCTGATAGTGTGGTGGGGGTGGATTCTAGCTTGCTGACCTCATCCTTTCTCTCTCACCCCTGGGAGAAAGTGAGCTCATAAAGAAAGAGGCATTTACGGTCTTTTAACAGACTTAGATGGTCCTTAACCGCTGTTGCACACAATCCAATTTTCCTGCCTGTGCAGTGGATGATGTGACGTTTGTGAGAGGATGAAACACATTCAGAGAGGTCAGTAAGGATTGAAAAGAGAAGATGAAACACAAACATCCTTAAGTTTTTCCTCAGAGTGGATGGGACTTGATGCCTTTTGGCATCTTGTTTGTGTGGTAGGGCTTTCTTTTGTTTGGTCCCTACAACCCTGATCATGTTGTCAACTGCGTGGGAAGCAGATGACATTTTCAGTACTATTAGTGCGTTTGAAGTTCCCAGTTGTTAAAGGCAAAATCATTTAACTTACCTAGACTGACGCTGAAACATTAAAATTGTCCAATGATGTCATGCGAATAAATAATGCACAAGTTTGGATGACATTCGTGCGAGGTGTTTTTTGTTTTTTCTTTATTTCAGCTCCTGGATTCAGTTTTTGATTTGTGCTCCTCGTGCACCGCTTTAAGAGGATGCAGCTATTGTTGAAGCATGTGCGATGTGCAGATATTTCAATGAATGAACGGTCGGCTGACTGCGAAAGGGAGTAGGATGATATTCATATTCCACAGGGAATGAAGCACCTCCCCTTTAATCGCTCGGTTGAGTTTCTCTCGGAGCTGTAGTCGTTCTCGTCACTCACGCATTTTCCGCCAGTCGTTGGAGGAACTCTGCTGGATTTCAGGGCTCTTGTGTTAGAAAGGATACTGTTTGTTTTGGTTTCTTTCGTTCTTTCTTGTGCTTTTGTGGAATAAAAAGTGGAAGTAGAAGGTTTTGACACTTGTCGGTGTCGTTTTGTTGTCATCGAGATGGAAAAACGCGGAATTAAGCATCCAAAGTGGCTGAAGGACTGAATTGGCTGGGTGAGTGAATGTGCTTTCGGAGCGCAGCGCTCGCTCTGGCGTTTAAATTCAGTGTTTTGGTCATTGCTTTTGAGGGGAAGTTTAGGGAAATCCGCTTATCTTCGGCTTTCTGAAATAAGACTGGGTCAAAACTGAACTTATTATTTTGTGTTCCTCAAATTCCAAAAAGTGAAATCGTTAGAATTTAAAACAACTTATATTTATTTAACTCCTCGTCTATTTCTAATATTCTCTTCCACACTTTGCTTTTACTTTTGTATCACCGCGTTAGAGTCGCCTTTTATTGCTGGGGTGTGAAATGTAATTGCAGCCTTGGGCAAAGTCCAGATGCCAGACGTTATTGCTCCCTGCGTAAAACAAAAGGAGTGCGTAAAGCCCAGCTGTCGGTGTAGTTTAATGTCACACGAATGCATGTAAAAGCACCGAAATCGTGGCTCTGTGATCAGGGGGAGATAATCCTACACAAATATTGTTAGTGAAGCAGGACCTGTGGATTATTATCGTCGCGGGGTTTTTTTTTTTTATAATTGAAAGATTTAATTTTTAATCATTGACCTGTCACATTTAGAAAAGCGCAAAATCTCACAAAGCAAATCCAGCACATAGCTCACAAAGCCTTACAAGAAAAAAAGGTAAAGCAATAACCCTTTATCTGTCCATGTCTATCTCCTCCAGCCTCCTGCTCTCCCTTCACCACACACTGGCATATTTGGAGTGGAAATGGCCAAGTGGTTAAAAGACTATCTGAGCTTTGGCAAGAAGGTGCCTCCACAGCCTCCAACACCAGACTACACAGAGAGCGAGATCCTCAAAGCCTATCGGCTCCAGAGAGACCTCGATTTTGAAGATCCCTATGAGGACTCAGAAAATAGATCCAGGGGGGAGTCTGGAACTTCTGAACCTGCAACACCCGTCTATGGGTCTCCCATGAAGTCATCCAGTGTGGACGTGAAGTCTCCTAAACACAGACTGATCAAAGTGGACTCACAGGAACTGGGACGCACCAAGATCCTACTTAGCACCATCTCTTTAGAGGATCAGCAAGAGCCCGTGAGTTTCTCTTTGTACCTATATAAGGAAAAATGTAGGCGATGACAAGCTTTTTATGTGGCCCATCTCTTGAGAACTAGAGGGATGACCGGAAGGCTAGCGAAGGAAAGAAACTCTCCCAT